CCTCTCCCCTCCTCTTCTGTCCTCCCCTCCCCTCCTCTCTTCCCCTCTCCTCTCCTCCCCTCCCCTCCTCTCCCCTCCCCTCCCCTCCGTTCTCCTCTCCTGAGTGGATAACCCCACCTAAGAAAGGGTTGCCACTGCCCAAAGGCAGAGGTTCTAGAAGGGTGGGAGGGTTCTTTCCATCCTGATCAAGGGGCAACTGTACAAATGCAGACCCTGGCTCTGGATGAGAGGCCTGCAGGAGGGTCTGCGGGTTGACCAGCCCCCTTTCTTTGAGGCTTCCTAGCCTGCAACCCCATCGATTCGGCAGTCCCACCAAGCTTGAGAGCTACAGCCTGGGAGTGGCCGAGGGTCCTCGGGCACAGAGAGGACCTGCAGCCCGCAGGACTTGAGGCACGTTGAGGGAAGGGCTGGGTTTCCTGTTCCAGTTCAGCTCAGCGGGGAACAGAGGAACCCACGTTTAAACCAGTAAATCTGCTCCAGTCCCAGCTCTCTGCTCTGCCCGGAAGCACCTCTGGGGTTTTGGCTGCAGCTGTGCGCTCCAACCTCCTGGGGCCTGCCCCAGGGCCACACCCAGAGAAAGGGCCCCTTTCCCTGAGGACTTCAGCCTCTTCCTCCTCCCCTGGGTCCCCACAGCCTCTTTTCTCTTTTTTCCTACAAAAAGCACCTCCTGTTTTCTTTGCCCCCCCCCCCCCCCCCCCCAAGCTTTAATAGTTCCCCACTGCCACTCCTTAGAGCAAAAAATTCTAACCTCAGTCTCTAATTACCGACCTATCTCCACTCCTAACCCCAGAGGAGGGAAGATGTCCTTATGGGGCCATCACTCTCCTGCTGGGATGCACCAGAAACTGCCTTTTTAAAGAAATATACATATATATATATTTAATTTATTTGAAAGACAGAGTTACAGAGAGACAGAGAGAGAGCGAGAGCTTCTAACTGCTGGTTCACTCTGCAAATGGCCACAACAGCCAGGGCTGGGGCAGGCCGAAGCCAGGAGCCAGGAGCTCCATCCAGGTCTCCCATGTGGGCGGCAGAAACGCAAGTATGTGGATCATCTTCTGCTGCTCCCAGGATGCAGTAGCAGAGAGCTGGACTGGAAGTGCAGAGTAGCCAGAACCAGACACTGACACAGGACGTGGGGGTCCCAAGCAGTGGCTTAACCCGCTGTGCCACAACGCACACCCCTGACCCCATTTTAGAGATGAGAAAACTGAGGCGCAGAGGGATTAAGAGACCTGACAAAGGTTCTGTAGCTGTCAGTGGTGAAGCTGGCATGGAACAGACGTCTATCACACGCTGTGTTCTATCACGCGGGGCAATGTTTATCTATTTGGAGTGACAATGTGTCCTCACTGGATGATGGCATCACTCAGCACTGCTCTGGGCAGCTCCGGAGCTGCTGCCTGCTCTTACCCCTTAAGGCACTGAGAAGGGAAGGGATCCACCGTGACTTAGAGGAGCTTTGGGGTCAATGTGCCTGGGTCCCCATGAGTCGCGGGATGTCATGTTTTGCTTTCAGATTTTGTGTCCAGTTCTGATGGACTCCGAACATTCTCCAACACTCAGGACCTGGACCCTTCCCCCTTTGGCTGAGTTTTCTGCTCAGTTCTGTGCCAAGAGGCAGAGTTCCGGGTTGGGGAGCAGCGCGTTCCTCCCTGGCCCGGATGGCTGGGACTGGCTGCCCCGCAGAGGGTTCAGTCTGGGCTCATCTGGGTACAGGGGCTGCTGGTGGGAAAGTCCCTAAAACACCTCGGGTTCAGGCTAGTGGCTGCTCGCCTGGGATGGAGCCAAGAGCTTATGTGCATGGTCTATTTTCTTAAAATAAACATACATCGCTGTTTTCAATATTGGTTTTTAAAAATCCAGATATTCAAATTTGAGCCATCTGGATGCAAATAGTTTGGGGACAATCGCCCCCCCCCCCCACAGACGTTCCTCATTTCAGTATGCAATTAAAAATTATTAATCATAGTAAACCTCAATCAAACTGCTTGGGTTTCAGTGTCTCTGCTATGTGTTAGTAACTGGCAAATTACTTCCATAACAATGGGATCATAAGAATACCTTCCTCTGCTATCTGCAGCCACTTAGCTGTTGCGGCCACGGCCACGGCCAGATTCTGATTCTGCCTCTCTTAGTCCTGAGTGCTCAGTCCCACCCCCTCGACACTTGACACCTGAGGCCCCCCGGGGTGGGGTGGGGGTGCTCAGCCCTGGTCTGGCTGAGTGGGAGTTGAGTCTGGGCAGCCTCACGCCCGCGCTAGCCTCCAACTACTCTGTGCGGAGCTGCTGTGAGAATGCGGGAAGCGTACAAAGTCTGGCGCTTAATAAGTGCTCAATAAAGTTTCCTATGGTCGCAGTATTTGGTGCTTTGTGCTTGTTATAAAACAAACACGCGTGCTATGCGGTTTAATTCATTGAAGAATCCAAAAGGCTGATGAAGCAGGCGGGATCCTGCCCGGTTCGGGTCCGGGGTGCGGGGCTGGGTGTCGGCGAGCGCGGGGCCTGGGCGCGAGGGCGCCCCCGGGCGGGGCCCGGGGGCGGGGTCAAGGAAGCCCCGCCCAGCAGCCACCTGCGACAGGTGGAGCGAGCGGCGCCGGGCTCTCAGCCATGTCCGCGGAGGGTGCGGGGCTGGCGCCGGGGCCGGGGCCGGGGCCGGGGCCGGGGCCGGGGCCGGGACCGGGGCCGGGACCAGGGCCCGGGGCCGAGCCGGGGCCGCTCTGCCCCGAGCACGGCCAGGCTCTGAACTGGTTCTGCGGCTCCGAGCGGCGGCCCGTGTGCGCCGCCTGCGCGGGGGTGGGCGGCCGCTGCCAGGGGCACCGCATCCGTCCAGCCGAGGAGCGCGCCGAGGAGCTGCGGGTGAGCGAGAGCGGGTGCGGCGAGGCTGGGGGCTCGGAACCGAGGCGACGCGCCAGGCGGGGGCCGCCGGGGACCTGGGAGCCTGGCGCCGGCTCTTCAGTGGCCTTGGCCGTGGAACTGGGCGGTTGAGGGTGTGGCCTCTGGAGTTAGGCCGACCCTGAGTTCGAATCCCTGTCCCTTCTGGCCGCCCCGCGGGTCACGTGACGCTGTGGCGCCTCGTTGGTTTCAGTGTTTGGGGATAAGAATACTGATAATAATAGCAGTTATCTATTAGCGCTGTAAGATAATGGGTAAAATGGTCACGTAGTGGCGGATCCCCAGGATCGTTGAGGGAGCTGGGGTAGCCTGGGGCAGTAAAAGTCCCAGCTGCTCCAGGTGCTCAGTGCAAGGTATGCTCCAGCTCCCGCCCGCCCGCGTGGAAGCTGAGTTCTGGTAGAACCCGCCCCTCCTCACCCCTCAGCCCCCTCCGCTCCTGCTTCCTGGCAAGGCGAGCTACTGGCCTGCACTGTGCTCCATTGGACACACGGAGAGGGTGGGAGGCAGCGGGAGGTCTCCTGTCATTCAGGGTTTCCCTCCCACCTCCACTTGGAGCTAGTGCGGGCTGGTCACCTTCCAGGGGAGCTGAGGAAGTGGGACAGTCCAGGTCACCCCCTCGGGCTTCCTCTAGCTGTGTCCTCTGGGGATTTCCTTGTAATTTGATGAAATGGCTTCATTCTTCCAACCGCACCCTGGAGTTCAGCCCTGCTGTGTGCTTGGGGGCCTTTGCCCCGGGGTAGGTGTGGGGGTGGGAATGAGACTTCAGGTGCACCTACCTGTCTGTAATAAGCACACCTTACAGGGTGCTGGAGTCAGGAGGGGCTCAGTTATCAGTGACACCAAGAAGCTCCTGGTTGGTCCTACCTGTCATTACTACTATCAATAACAGTCATTATGAACAGCAGCTTGGACGGCGTGGTATAATCAGCTTGCCTCATGGGTAGAAACCTTGCACATTCCGAAGCCTTGGAAGGAGGTCCTGCCTGTCTCATTTTACAGATCAGGAAACTGAGGCCCAGAACAAGGCAGTGACACCGCCAGCATCCTTAATGCTCAGGCGCTGGGCTGGCATTCATTGCCTGGGCACGAGGAAGCCCCCTAGTGGCTTCCGTGGTTGGAGGGAGGAAGTGAGGCTGAAGGGACTGAGAATTTCATGAAATCATTCAAGGGCAGCCGTGGAGGCCAGAGCTGAGCCGTGTGAGGGGTGCAGGGTATCAGGCCTGGTGCTTGTTCTGGAATGCACTCCCGGGAGCCTGCCCCAGCCCCACTGAGGCCCTACGCACGTTATCGCCTATGCTGAGTGGTGCCCCTCTGCCTCGTTTCGAGGAGATCCTATCTCTGTGCACGCCTTCCCATCCCTCCAGCGAGCAAAGATATTCACCCCAGGGCAAGACTGTTACTGAGCGGGAGCAAAACAGCTCCGGCTCAACTGCTCTCTTAACCTGGATTCTCGCAGAGAGCAGTCGCAGTTCTCGAAGCTTCCATTCACCTCTGTGACTTTGGATTTGGACCTGTGATGTGTAAGACTCATTCCTGCTTGTCGGGGAGCAGGGAGGAGATGGGTAAGGATTTAGTGGGGGGTTACCTGGAAGAGGTCGCTGAGTTGTCTTTTTTCTGAAACTGTCCACTGCGCTCCTCCACGGGGCCGCCAGCAGCCCTGGGAGCTGTGAACAGCCTAACCTCTTATGGCCACGGTGGTGGCTGTTCATTCATTCAACAAATATTTATTCAGGGCCTTCTATGTGCAGGAGCGCTTTTCTGAGCACTAGGTCGTAGAGAACAAGTCAAAGTCGTGGTGCTCCAGCAGTGGGCAGAGACACAGAGCAGAGAACAAACATCTCGTGTGTAGTCAGAGAGCCAGAAGCACAAGGGAGGGCAGATAAGGCGAAGTGAAAGAGTAGGGGGTGAGGATGGCTAGGGAAGGCCTCTCTGGAGAGGTGACAGCTGGATGGAGCAGAGCAGCAAGATATAGCATACGTGCACACACGCACACATGGAGACGGAAGGAACAACAGGTACCCAGGCTGAGTCAGACAAGGCAGGTGTATTTAAGGAACAAGGAGAGGGTCAGCATGGAGAATGGCAGGAGGTGAGGCTGGAGAATCAGGGAGACTTTAATGCCTACGGCGGGAAACTTGATCTCACTGGGAGTGGATTGGGAAGGCGCCGGAGGGCGCAGAGCAAGGGGCACGACCTGATTCGATTTCCTTACCAAAAGCAGCTGTAGCGGACCGTGTGTGTGTGTGTGTGTGTGTGTGTGTGTGTGTCCAGAAGTGGACACTGTGAAGATGGGGCTGATAGGACTTGCCCGTAGGTGAGGCTGGAGAGAATCTCCTGACGGATGGCGCTGTGTGATGAATGGGGGTGACTCGGGGAGAGCAGGTGGGGGAGCCCGCTTCTGCTCCTGTGTGGGTGGGGAGAGTCAGGGAGCTGGAAAGGAAGGAAGGTTGGCAGTGCACGCAAGGAAGCAGTTGTAACGATGGGCCGTGGGTCCTCAGGGTAAGGAAGGAAGTGAAGGCACCAAAGAGGGTGCTGGACAGCCAGTGTGTGTGACCCCACGAGTCGCTGAGCTGCAAGGTTGTGCGGTCCTTGAAATGAAGACTTTGGACGTGGAACTTTTTTTTTTTTTTTTTTTTTTTTGACAGGCAGAGTGGACAGTGAGAGAGAGAGACAGAGAGAAAGGTCTTCCTTTGCCGTTGGTTCACCCTCCAATGGCCACTGCGGCCGGCGCACCGCGCTGATCCGAAGCCAGGAGCCAGGTGCTTCTCCTGGTCTCCCATGGGATGCAGGGCCCAAGCACCTGGGCCATCCTCCACTGCACTCCCTGGCCACAGCAGAGAGCTGGCCTGGAAGAGGGGCAACCGGGACAGAATCCGGTGCCCCGACCGGGACTAGAACCCGGTGTGCGGGCGCTGCAAGGCGGAGGATTAGTCTAGTGAGCCGCGGCGCTGGCCGGAACCATTTTTGATAGTGCTGAGCTCTGGGTTATGACCACGGGTGCGGGTGGCTCAGGCGGGATAAAGGAAGGAATCATTGGAATGGAGGGGATGGCTCGTATACATGGATCAGGCTGCCATGAGTGTTGTTTGTGTTGCAGAACAAGATCGTGGACCAGTGCGAGCGGCTGCAGTTACAGAGTGCTGGCATAACCAAGTATGTGGCCGAGGTCCTGCCAGGGAAGAACCAGAGAGCAGTGGTAATTCCTCTTCCTCTTCTTCTTCTTCTTCTTTTTTTTTTTTTTTAAGATTTATTTTATTTATTTGAAAGAGTTACAGAGAGAGGTAGAAAGAGAGAGAGGTAGGCCGGCACCGCGGCTCACTAGGCTAATCCTCCGCCTGTGGCGCCAGCACCCCGGGGTTCTAGTCCCGGTTGGGCGCCAGTTCTGTCCCGTTTGCCCTTCTTCCAGGCCAGCTCTCTGCTGTGGCCCGGGAGGGCAGTGGAGGATGGCCCAAGTGCTTGGGCCCTGTATCCGCATGGGAGACCAGGAAAAAGCACCTGGCTCCCGGCTTCGGATTGGCACAGTGCGCCAGCCATAGCGGCCATTTGGGGAGTGAACCAACGGAAAGGAAGACCTTTCTCTCTGTCTCGTCTCTTTCTCTCACTGTCTAACTCTGCCTGTAAAAAAAAAAAAAAAAGAAAAGAAAAGAGAGAGAGAGAGAGGTCATCCATCACTGGTTCACTCCCCCAGATGGCTGGCTACAATAGCCGGATCTGAGCTGATCGGAGGCCAAACCCAGGAGCCAGGAGCTTCTTCCAGGTCTCCCGTGTGGGTACAGGGGCCCAAGGACTTGGGCCATCCTCCGCTGCTTTCCCACGTGCATTAGCAGGGAGCTGAATCAGAAGTGGGGCAGCCAGGACTCGAACTGGCATCCATATGGGATGCTGGCACTGCAGGCCAGGGCTTTAACCCACTGTGCTACAGTGCTGGCCCCGGTAATTCCTCTTTCCCCTCTGCTGTAGACACCCTCCCAGGATCTGACCCCAGCCCTCTAGGGGCCTGAACAAGTCCAGGGTCCCTTCTCAACCTCACAGACTCATTGTGCAACTAGCAAAGCTGAATGTCCAGGAAGGAGGGGCTCCCATCTCTTCAAGTGAGCCTCTTCCCAGACTCCTATTGGATACGAAGACTCTACCAGGAAATGACTTTCTTGGGTATGTATATTGGGTTAAGAAAGGTGGTAGAATTCTTGTGCTTTATGACAAGCCTGTGCAGTAGGTGGCAGTAATATCCCCGTTTACAGATGGGAAATGGGTCCTAGAGAGATTGACTTGCGCAAGGCCCCACAACCGCCTGGCAGTCTGTTCTGTGATCCAGAGCTTCTAACTCCCAGGCCAGCGCTCCTGCTGCTGCACCCCACTCTGATCTTTATTTGGTGGACTTATTGCCACTGTTTTGTCTTTCCGTTCCTTTTTTTTTTTTTTTTAAGAAAGATTTATTTATTTGAAAGGCAGAGTTAGAGAGAGAGAGAGAGAGAGAGGTATCTCCCATCTGCTGGTTCACTCCTCTAATGTTATGCAATGGCTGGGGCTGGGCCAGGCCAAAGCCAAGAGTCTGGATATCCATCTGGGTCTCCCACATGGGTGCAGAGGTCCCAGCACTTGGGCCATCTTCTGCTGCTTTCTCAGGTGCATAAGCAGGGAGCAAGATTGGAAGTGGAGGAGTTGGAGCTTGAACTGGTACTCATAAGGGATGCTGGCATTGCAGGCAGTGGCTTAACCAACTATGCCACAACACTGGCCTCATATGTCTTCACTGAATTCTGCACAAGCTCTTTGTCCTTCCCACATAGTAGGAGTAAGCTTGGCACTGACTTAGTCCAAGTTCTTTTAATTACACGGAACAGAACCCAGTTGAACCAGGAACCAGAAAGTTGTTAGGAGTCCAGGCAGCCCTTCTGTGTCCATCTCAGCTTCACTTTGCTTGATGATATCTCTCTCTCTCTCCCTCTCTCTCTCTCCCCCTCCCCCTCCCTCTCTCCCTCCCTCCCTCCTGTTGATTTTCTTGTCTTACTGGACTGGCTGTGACCTTATACAATGCCAAATAGAAGCTTCTGTAGCAGATCTTGACTCTAAGGGGAAAACTTTCAGTATTGCATCATTTATTGATTTAATAGATCCTTCTTGAGCACCTATCACGTTCCAGGCACTGTTGTCCTATGGGCCAAGCTTTCCACAGTGACCGAAACATGAAAGTGGCAGGCATTCTGGCATAGCAGGCAAGGCCACTGCCTGTGGTGCTGGCATCCCATAAGGGTGCCAGTTCGAGTCCTGGCTGTTCTACATCAAAGCCGGCTCCCTGCTGCCTGGGAAAGCAGCAGAAGATAGCCCAAGTCCTTGGGTTCCTGCTCCCATGTGGGAGACTCAGAAGAAGGTCCTGGCTCCTGGCTTTAGATTGACCCAGCTCTGGCCATTGCAGCCATGTGGGGAGTGAACCAGCAGATGGAAGACCTCTCTCTACCTCTACTTCTACCTCTTTGTAACTCTGCCTTTCAAATAAATAAATCTTTAAAAAATATGAAAAGTCTTGTTTTTATGAAGCCTATATTTTTCTCAAGGAAGAGAGATAATAATAAATAAAACACACAGTGTCAGAGGGTGCTCCATGGGAAATAGCGCATGTTGAGAACTGGGGTTGCAATTACATGACTGCAATCAGGGATGACCTCATTAAGGTTGATTTCTGCACAAAGACTTGGGAGATGGACCACACATCTAGGGGAAAACTTTTCCAGAAAAAGGGAATGGCAAGTGCCAGGAGGCCTGTGAGGTTGAGGCAGAGTAAACAGCTGAGAAGGCCTAGGAGAGTAGGGAGCTGGGTTGTACACCCGTTGGCCACAAAGGGATGTGGCCTTTTCTGTTGAGTGTGATGGAAAGCCACTGGAGATGTTTGAGCAGAGTACAATGCTATGTTGAGAAGTGACGTAGGCAGCAAAAGCAGAAGCAGGGAGACCAGTTAGGAAGCCACTGTAAGAATCTAGACGGGAGACGAGAGTGGTTTGCACCCAAGCCGGTCCACTTGCCAGTTACTTACCTACTCTTTCCTCTGTATAGGGCCAATCGTGGGTCTCAATTTCTTCTGTGAAGCAGGGTCGACTGCCCCCTGAACTGCAGAAAGCAGTCCTCAGGGACAGGACACGGGGAGGGTGGGTGGCTATCCCTGACTTTCTGACGTGAAGAAGGCGGTTCTACCGTCTCGTTTGCCAAGAGTACAAGTACAGGTGGCTTCTATGACAGATGTTTTGGGGGAGAATTCATTGCTCGTTGGCATCTGATGTAGTGGAATAGTGCTAGATGGAAAGGCAAGGATTGGGCTCTCGTCCCAGCTCTGCCACTGAGCCACTGTCACATGGGCACTAGCAAGAGATTTTTGGCTAAGTCGGAAGAAACATCCATTCTCTTGGAAGCTGAGAACTTGACCATATGCCAGGCACTGTTCTAGGAGTTAGAAGAAAATGCTCATTAATTTCTTATTGGCTGGGAATTGATTGTAGGCCCCTTCTGTTCCTACCATGGAACCCTTTTGAATGAACAGTGTTAGAAATAATGAGCTTTTGGTCCCCGGACACGGTGAACTACCCATTGGACCGCTGTTGGTGTGGATCCTGCTGATGGCGATGACTTTTGAGGCCCCTTCTGCCCGATAGCTCTGTGATCCTCTGACCTTGCGTCCTTGGTCTTGGTTTTCCCAGTAGTGAAATAAGCAGGTGATTGCAGCAGTTCTCTAAGCTCTGCCCAGCTCTTCCATTCTGTGACCATGGCTCCATGATTGATGCAGCCTGGCTGCCCAGATCTCAAATGTTTTACATCCTAAACCATATTTGGGAAGTCTCAGGGCAGGATGTCAAAGTATGGTTTAAGTGCTGTAACACCTCCCCTCCCCTGACTATACCTGTGGTAGACATCACTAATCAACCCCGACACTCCTCCCCACTGATTTCAGATCCTCCTGATGCTGACTAGGGCTTTGCCAGGACTCAACTCCTCATTTTATCCCTTGCCAGAGCATGGCCAGCGCAGCGAGGGAACTGGTTATCCAGCGGTTGAGTCTGGTGAGGAGCCTGTGCGAGAGCGAGGAGCAGCGGCTACTGGAACAGGTGCATGGTGAAGAGGAGCGGGCCCACCAGAGCATCCTGACACAGCGAGTCCACTGGGCCGAGGCCCTGCAGAAGCTTGACGCCATCCGCAGCAGCCTGGTGGGCATGCTCACCCAGCTGGATGACCTGCAGCTGATTGTAAGTGTGGGCTTGCCCAGCTGGCCAGACGCCACGAACGTTTGAAAACATTGACCGTTTCTGTGGTAGGAGCTGGGTGGAAATAAGCATTTGCAGCAGAGACAAGTGACACAAGTTCTTTACTTGGCCAAACTTTTCATTGAACCCTTTCTTTAGACTGTACCGTCTGTGCACTTCCTTGCCAAATCCAGTTTTAGCAAATAACTCTGCTGAGTCAGTGTGGCCAGAACCCCTATCCCCAGTATCTGATCTCCCTTCTTATCTGCTCAGGTTCCTCAGCTGCTACCAAATCAGATGTCTGACCTCCTCCGCCTGTCTTCAGCAAGAATCCTGCTAGGTCAGCTTAGCTAGAATCTCCCTTGCCCCTGATACTTCCTCTTAGTAACTGCCATCCACAGCCACCGTCTCCCCCCTGCCCCCTGCTCCTTAGCTCTTAATTAATTCCCTTTTGCCTATTCTGTTTTCAGAGCTGAACCCAAATCTCTGTCCCCAACTGCAAGACCCCGTTGCAGTGGTCATGTACTTATCGTGATGGTGCCCAACAAAATCTCACTTACCACGAGTTACCAATTATCATGTAGTTTCTTCTATAACATAATGCAGGCAAATAAGAAGTATGTGATCTTTTGGGGCAGCCAATAACGATATTCTTCCACTAGTGAGCAGACTTTACTGAGTGCCTCTTAGGTCCTAAGCACTGCGCTAAGGGGTAGAGTTACAGGATACAGCAGCTAGCCGCTCCCCAACCTTATGAACGAGGGAAACTCATTGCCTGGGAGTTAGGATGAGGAAGGCTGTGTGCTGGCATAGGAAATCTCTCTGAGCTGAGGATCCTGCAGTCTACACTGTAGGGAGGAGGGTTCAGGAGAGCTTCCTGGATGAAGTGGCTTAGAAGCTGATACTGAAAGCTAAGAGTAGCTCTGTTGCAGGCAGTGGGGAGGTGGAAAGGGTTCAGGAGCAGGCAGGAACAGCGTGCCCAGGGCTGCTGGCGAAAGCTCCAATGCGACGATGTGGAGCTCATCCTTAGTCCTACCAGCCAGGGCTGCCCCGTGCACAGCCTTTCAAGGTCTTCTTCTTTTTTATTTTTTAAAATATTTATTTGTTTATTTGAGGGGCAGAGTTACAGACAGAGAGAGGGAGACAGAAGGATCTTCCATCTACTGGTTCACTCCCCAAATGGCCGCAATGGCCAGAGTTGGGCCCGGCCCATCTGAAGCAGGAGCTTCTTCCGGGTCTCTCATGCAGGTGCAGGGGCCCAAGCATTTCAGCCATCTTCTTTCCCAGGCCACAGCAGAGAGCTGGATTGGAAGAGGAGCAGCCAGGACACGAACCAGCACCCATATGGGATGCCGGCATCACAGGCGTAGGCTTAGCCTACTATGCCACAGTGCTGGACCCCTCAAGGTCTTCTGTACAGATCTGTGGATGCCTCCAGTATTGAGGGGACTGTAAAATGCCAGGCAGAGGCAGGAACATGTAAAACAATCTAGCCATCCCACTGCCTTGTCAAGTAGGGCAGTTTCCATGAGTGCCCTAGATTATGTGTTCACTTAGTCATCCAGCTTCCGTGTCTGGAGTACATGCTGTCCCTGACACTGGAGCAGGTATGTTGTGGAGGGGTATGTGTGTGTGTGTGTGTTATAGAGGTGTTGTTGTGTGTATGTTATGGAGGTGGTATGCACGTGTGTGTTATGGAGGTGTTGTGTGTGTTATAGAAGTGTGTGTTATGGAGGTTGTGTATGTGTGTGTGTTATGGAGGTGTTGTGTGTGTTATAGAAGTGTATGTGTATAATGGAAAGGTTGTGTGTGTATGTGTGTGTGTTATGGAGGTGTTGTGTGTGTTATTAAGGTGTTGTATGTGTGTGTTCTAGAGGTATTATATGTTCTCAAGGTGTTATGTGTGTGTGTTATGGGGTGTTGTATGTTATGGAGCTGTATGTGTTTGTATGTGTTATGGAGGTGTGTGTGTTGTGGAGGTGTGTGTGTTATGGAGTGTTGTGTTTGTGTGTTATGGAGGTATGTATGTGTTATGGAGGTGTGTATGTGTTATGGAAGTGTGTGTGTTATGGAGGTGTGTGTGTGTTATGGAGGTATTTGTGTGTTATGGAGGTGTGTTATGGAGGTGTGTGTGTGTTACAGAGGTGTGTGTGTGTGTGTTATGGAGGGGTGTGGAGGGTGTGTTATGGAGGTATTGTGTGTGTGTTATGGAGGTGTGTGTATTATGGAGGTGTGTGTTATGGAAGTGTGTGTATTATGGAGGTGTGTGTGTGTTACAGAGGTGTGTGTATTATGGAGGTGTGTGTTATGGAAGTGTGTGCATTATGGAGGTGTGTGTGTGTGTTACAGAGGTGTGTGTGTGTGTTATGGAGGTGTTTGTGTGTGTTATGGAGGTGTGTGTGTTATGGATGTGGGGGGGTGTGTTATGGAGGGGTATGTGTGTGTTATGGAGGTAGTGTGTGTGTGTTATGGAGGTGTGTGTATTATGGAGGGGTGTATGTGTGTTACGGAGGTGTGTGTGTGTTATGGAGGTGTTGTGGAGATATGTGTGTTATGGAGGTGTTGTGTGTGTATGATATGGAAGTGTTGTGTGTGTGTTTTATGGAGGTGTGTGAGTTACGGAGGTGTGTGTGTGTTAAGGAGGTGTGTGTGTTATGGAGTTGTGTGTTACAGAGGTGTGTGTGTAATGGAGGTGTTTTCTGTGTGTGTTATGGAGGTGTGTGTGTGTGTTATGGAGGTGTTTTGTGTGTGTGTTATGGAGGTGTTTTGTGTGTGTGTTATGGAGGTGTGTGTGTGTTATGGAGGGGTGTATGTGTTATGAAGGTGTTGTGGTGTGTTATGGAGGGGTGTGTGTGTGTTATGGAGGTGGTGTGTGTGTGTGTGTATGTGTGTGTGTGTGTATGAAGAATGAGCTTCAAAGCTTTAAGCTGGCTCTTACAGAAGAGTGGAAGTTTTAACTCTAGATCTATGTCCAGATGGAGCCCTTGAGATGAGTTTTTAGTCTTTCCCACCTGCTGGGTTCTGGGCCAAACCTGACTTTCTGTTCTTTCCTCCCAGGAGAAGGAGCAGGACATCTTTGAGAGGTGAGTATGGCCCCCTCTTGAAAGGCGATTTGCTCGGGCAGTCACGGAGCCCCTCTGGTCTCACTGCTGCTGGGAGAAATCTCAGGGCATGCAGTGTGTGGTTTCTCTGGGGCCTGGCCTGATGGACAGGGGTCCTCCTGTCCCTGGCTTGGAGAGCTGTGCTAGCCCCGTGCGGGAGGTCGGGACATAATTACTCACTGCCGGAGGCTTGTCCTAGGCTTCCTTAAACATGAACCTATTTAAAGACACAGTGACTTGTCTCAGGGTTTTATCACTGCCATCTACAGATGAGAATGCTGAGGCTCAGAGCAAGGGGGCTGGGCTAAGCCCCAACCACCTGCCACCTGCCCCAGTACTGTCTCCTCCACTTCACTTCCCCTATATCTGATAAAATCAGCTTTGAAACTTAAGTCTCTGTGACCACTCAAATTTTTCATTAAAAATATTTTTTCATTTTATTTGAAAGGCAGAGAGACAGATGGAGAGAGATCTGGTTTATTCCTCTAAATGCCTGCAACAGCCAAGGCTGGGCCAACCTGAAGCCAGGAACTCAGTCCAGGGCTCCCATGTGGGTGGCAGGGCCCTAACTACTTGAGCCATCACCTGTTGCCTCCCAGGGTACACATTAGCAAGAAGCTGGATCGGAAGTGGTGTAGCTGGGACTTGAACCCAGGAACAGTGATGTGGGATGCAGGTGTTTCAAGTGGTGGGCACTTCCCAAGTGGCTGCAATGGCCAGGGCTGGTCCAGGCTGAAGCCAGGAGCCAAGAACCTTTTATCTGGGTATCTCACCTGGGTGTGGGGCCCCAAGCACTTGGGCCATCTTCCACTGCTTTCCTAGGTGCATTAACAGGGAGCCGGATCAGAATTAGAGCAGCCAGGACTCGAACCAACGCCCACATGGGATGCCAGCACTGTGGACAATGGCTTAACCTGCTATGCCACAGCGCCGGCCCCAGCACACACTTTCATCCTTAAATTAGCATGTACCCCCTAAGAACAAAGACATCCTCCTATGTAACTGTAGCACAAAATTCAAGAGCTTTAATGTTGATATGACACTAATATCTAATAGCTAGATGTTGCCAGTTACGCTCACAATGATCTTGCCGGCGCTTTTTTGTTTTGGTTTTTCCTCATTCATCTGGTCTTTCTGAATCTGGAATTGTTCCTGAGCTTTTTTGGTTGTTGTTAATATTTTTAAGGAGTCAAGGCCAGTTTTCCAGGCTGTCCCTCATTTTGAATTTGTCTGATGACAGCTCATGATTGGATTTGGGCTAGATGTATTTGATAGGAATACCTTGTGAGTAAAGTGTTCTCAATCTTTCCTATCTGGGAACCTCTAGTGGCCCAGGATATCACTCTAGCCCCTTATGGATGTTAATTCCGATCACTTGAACAAAGAAGTGTCTATGAGATTTCTTCATTATAAAGTTATATTTCTCCTCTGACAAGGAATGAACAATTTGTGAGCAGATACATCCTGGGTGTGTATATCCTCTTCTCCTTTAAACGTTCACTCAATAGGGTTAGCTTCCATTTATAATTCCTGCCTGAATTATTCATTTGTTTATTTGCTTGCTTGTTCATTCATTTATTTGGCATCAATATAGACTCGTGGGTTCTTATTTTGTCCAGTGCATTATAAGCTATAGCTGCCATCAGTAATTTTGATGTTCAGACTGTCCCAGATTTGGTCAGACACTTCCAGCTGGATCGTGTATCCCTTGAGCAGGTCCCCGTCATTCTTTGGGCACTTCCTTACTTTATGACACACAAAGATATCCCAGGGGTCCAACTCATTCTTTTCCTGCCCTAGCCCTGGAATCAGCTGTTTCTCCAGGGCTCTTGGTTCCTTTTAATCGGGAATGATGTTTGGAAGCCAAGACCTGGAAAATACAAGTGCCCGTTGCTACTAAAGTGCATTGCACTCAGGCCTTCTTGGTGGACTCAGGGCTAGGAAGTGTGTGTGTGTGTGTGTGTGTGTGTATGACCTTCTTATGCATGAGCTTGTATTATAACTTAAAATTCCAATCAAATGCCAGAGGGCTTTTCCTTTGCTTTCCCCCATTCCAGACTTGTATCTTTCTACTTTTACAGTGATAACCCTGGCTCCCAGTAAGCACAGATATATAATTCGTTTGCTGCATCGAACACTACACACAAAGTTGTTTGAGAATTGCTAGGCCCGTACCACTCTTGGCAAAACTGAGTCCAGTTCAAGACTCGTCTCTAGTTTCTTGTGCCCGTAGGCTGAGGGTGCATATGCTCAATGCTGTGGAACCCCGAGAAATGCCTTTGTCGGCCCCGGTGTTGTTTCCTCGTCCACAGCTGGGCTCAGCTCCAACCCACGAGGCAACAGATCCTGCTGCAGACAGGGCACCCCGATCCCAGCCGCGGCCCTGCTGTATGCGGACCCCACTTGATTCCCACTCCTGCAGGGTCATGGGTTTTCTCTTCTGCACCCTGGAGTGGCCAGCCCAGCTGGTTCTCGCAGAGCCTGCTGTCTGCATTCGGTCTCAGATGTGCCCAGGATGAACACTTGGCTCTGCCGACACTGGTTTCTCTTTCCTCCCCTCCCGCTGGCTGGGGCTTCACTGTGCTTTGAGAAGATCCCAACAGACTCTCTCTTGTCCTCATCATAAAGTGCCTTTGTTCCTGAGCCTGCTCCCAGCCCTGGTCACCTCATTCCTCCCAAGCTGGGACAGTTGGTGACAGTCTTACAAAGAGCTTGCCTCCATCAGGGGACATGCCCCACCTTCTGTCCTTGGATTCATTTGTGGGCAGTCATGAGGTCTGGGGAGACAGAGTGTACTCAGCACTGCTGCCCAATCTCAAAGCTATCGTTGGGGTTAGAGGCGGTGAGAAAGCTCCTTTTCAGGACCCATGGCAGGCAGCTGCAGAACTCCATGGTGGGGTGGTCATTCGGTGCCATGATTAAGATATTACATGGGATGCCCGCATCTCATACCAGACTGCCTAGGTTCAAATCCTGGCTTCGCTTCCAATTCCAACTTCCTGCTAAGGCGCACCTCGGGAAGCGGCAGTGATGGCTCAAGTATCTGAATTGCTGCTCCCCATGTGGGAGACCCTGATTGAGTTCTTGGCTCCTGGCTTTGGCCTGGCCCAGACCCCACTGTGGTGGACACTGGGGAGTGAACCAGGAGATGGAAGATCTCTTTGCTTTTCAGATAGAGAGAGGAAGAGAACATAAGTAAAATCCTTTTCCACCAGGGTGACACCGGGTTGGCAGCCAACCCCATGCATGGGCTGCTAAAGGGGGCTTGAGCTAAAAGGGAAGGTGGGCATTCCTGTGTCCCCCACCAGCCTGAATCCAGCCAATCGAAGACACTTTACAGGGAGGGGTGTACTTGGTGCCAGTATTAAAGCAGGAGGGGCTGTGCTCTGAGGGGAGCAGCAACTCGCCAGTGTCCCTCAGTCAGGACGGAGCAGAGCCAGGACCGGGACCTGGGCCTCTGGGAGCCCCCTGGAGGCCCCTGTGCCAGTCTCCTCACTCCATCATCGTGCCCGGGAAACAGTTCGCCTCTCTGCAAGAACTGTTGGAGCAGTAATGTTCCCTTGGTTTGCTCAGCAGGTAGAGCTACTCCTCTGCTCTTAGCATGCAGAGGTGTGACCCTGGGGGGTCACCCCCCAGGAAGGGCTCATCAGCCATCACCCCAGCCACAAATTAGTCTTAGCACTTTGCTCCCCGAAACTCCCTCCCACTTTGAACCCAGAGTTGGGGACTGGGTTTCGTGGGTGAGGCCAGCTGAGAACATGGGATGCCTAGAAGGGCAGGGTCGCCACTGGCCTGGCAGCCAGACCCTGGGCTTGCTGTTTGCTCTATGGAATTGCAACTAAAATTTGCTATAACCTGGGGGGAGGTGGCAGTTATCCCATCTGACAGGAGAGAGCAGAGATTCAGAGAAGGCACTCAGTCGAAAAGCAGAGCTGGAATCGAGTCCTGCCTGCATGTAAAAACAGAATAAACCCAGGACAGAGCACAGGCACCACGCAGCATAATTTTTTCCTTGATATGAAATGAAATCTCAAAGGGATATAGGGCAAAGTGGGGCTCTGCCAGAGATCTGTTTTTGTTCTTTTTTATTTTTAAGATTCACTTATTTATTTATTAGAGAGAGAGAGAGAGAGAGAGAGAGAGAGGTATTGAAATCACTCATTTAGGGGCCAGTGTTGTGGTATAGTGGGTAAGGCCACTGCCTGTGACTCCAGCTCCCATATGGGTGCCTGTTCCAGTCCCACCTGCTCCGTTCCCATCCAGCTCCCTGCTAGTGCACCTGGGAAAGCAGCAGAGGATGGCCCAGGTGCTTGGGGCCCCTGCACCCACGGAGGAGACCTACTTGAAACTCCTGGCTCCTGGCTTCGGTCTGGCCCAGCCCTGGCTGTTGCAGCCATTTGGGGAGTGAACCAGCAGATGGAAGATCTCTATCTCCCTCCCCAGTACCCCATAACTCTGCTTTGCAAATAAGTACAATAAATCTTTTTTGAAAGGAAATCTTCCATCTGCTGGTTCACTCTCCAAACAACCACAATGGAGCCAGGAACTCCATTCGGGTCTCCCACATGGGTGGCAGGGACACAAGTACTTGGGCCAGCTTCCCCTGCCTTCCAGGTGCAGGATCAGAAGTGCAGGAGCTGGGATTTGTGTAGCATTCCAATATGGGATGCTAGTGTTGTAAGAAGCTGCTTAACTTGCTATGCCACAACACTGACCCCTTTTTGGTTCTTTTATTGTGTTAATTTTAAATATATGAAATATAATTAAATACATTTCCATATTTAATGATACAGATATATTTCTAGAACCTTCCTGACTCTATTTTTTTTCCCCTTGCATAAGGTCGGAGGAAGCAGAGGGCATTTTGGATCCCCAGGACTCAGAGAAGTTAAACTTCAATGAGAAGTGCACCGAGAGCCCACTACTGACCCAACTCTGGGCGACGGCCGTTCTTGGCTCCCTCTCAGGTTAGGAGCTGCCAGAGCCTAGCTCCATTAGGAGCAAGCGGGCTCCTGTCTGTCTGTGTGGGGTTCGCTACTGGGTGCCACCGGGCACCTGTGCTGCAGGGACGGCAGTGGAAGCAGCCAGTGATGCTGGACGCAGCCTGTGAAGCTGGGCCGAGTCCTTCCCGTCCACAGCACGCTGCTGAGGTTGGGTCTAGGATAAATCTCGTGCCTGTAAATCACATCCTCTTCACGTCCTGCCTTCCCGGGACAGCTCAGGATTATTTCTGGGAGGCCTCGAGTTTCTCTTTAAGAAGATGTACTAATGGGGCCGGCGCTGCAGCTCACTAGGCTAATCCTCCGCCTTGTGGCGCTGGCACACCGGGTTCTAGTCCCGGTCGGGGCACCGGATTCTGTCCCGGTTGCCCCTCTTCCAGGCCAGCTCTCTGCTGTGGCCCGGGAGTGCAGTGGAGGATGGCCCAAGTGCTTGGGCCCTGCACCCGCATGGGAGACCAGGAGGAAGCACCTGGCTCTTGGCTTTGGATGGGCGCAGTGCGCCGGCCGTAGCAGCCATTGGGGGGGTGAACCAATGGCAAAAGGAAGACCTTTCTCTCTGTCTCTCTCTCTCTCTCACTGTCTAACTCTGCCTGTCAAAAAAAAAAAAAAAAAAAAAAAAAAGTAGTAATGGAGGACAACCGGAGCGGCTCTGTACCCAGAATGAAGCTGCCTGGAGTGCCCTCTCTCGTTCATTTAATAAATGTTGGCTTGGGCCGCCTGTGGGCCTGGCCCTGTGCTGCACGCCAGGGCTGCAGAGGTGAACATGACCCGGTCTCCTGCCTCCGGGAATTCCCACTGCGTACAGAGGTTCTCGAAGCAGGCTCTTCCCTGGCTGCATGGAAGCTTCCATGTGGTAGACTTGGCACAAGTCATGGAAAAGCGGGGTTAACACATTGATTCCCCCCCCCTCAATGTTAACCCTCCCCTGCCTAGTCTTAAACTTTCGGAACAAGCTTCAGCTTGCTTACACTAGATGCTGGCATCAGATGGTGCCTGGTTTATCAGCACCCCGCTTAGTTAATTGCGGGCAAGTGTCTATCTTACGCTTCTGAACTTTCAGGGCCTCCATCCCTGGGAGGAGTATGGAGGCCACAGATAAGACAGCGAGAAAGCAGTATGACCTGTGGTCATACTGCAGCAACAAGATGGGTCTTCATTTGGATCCTGCCACCAACTCAGTGGGTAGTCTGGGGCTAGTCCTTTCTGGGCCGTATTTCTATCAGAGTTTACAGGTGAGGGTCAATAAGTGTACTGAGCACTTATTCTATGCTAGGCACATAACATGTATCATTTTGTTTAATTTTCATGTCTACACTGCACTAAGTCCTAGTGTGAGCTCCATTTTACAGATGGGAAAACGGAGGCTCAGGGAAAGTAAATGGTCTGCCTCAGGTCTCGCTGCACCAGTGAGTGCCCCCCGGCAGGACTAGTTTGGGTTGAGCGTGGGCCCAGGCAACTCGGAGAATTCTTTCCGGCAGGCACAGAGGACATACGGATTGATGAGCGGACTGTCAGCCCCTTCCTGCAGCTGTCAGATGACCGGAGGACCCTGACCTTCAGCACCAAGAAGTCCAAGGTCTGTGCAGACGGCCCGGAGCGTTTTGACCACTGGCCCAATGCCCTGGCTGCCACCTCCTTCCAGGCCGGGCTCCACGCCTGGGTGGTGAACGTGCAGAGCAGCTGCGCCTATAAGGTGGGCGTGGCCTCGGGCCAGCTGCCCCGCAAGGGTTCTGGCAATGACTGCCGTCTGGGCCACAACACCTTCTCCTGGGTCTTCTCCCGCTACGACCAGGACTTCCGCTTCTCCCACAACGGGCAGCACGAGCCCCTGGGGCTGCTGCGGGGCCCGGCCCAGCTGGGCGTGCTGCTGGACCTGCAGGCGCAGGAGCTGCTCTTCTACGAGCCGGCGTCGGGCGCTGTGCTCTACACCCACCGCGCCGCCTTCCCCGCGCCCCTCTTCCCCGTCTTCGCGGTGGCCGACCAGACCATCTCCCTCGTGCACTGACCTCTGGCCACAGGGAGGCCAGCTCCTCCTCGCCGCACCCTTTCGGGGCACTGTTCTTTCTCAAATGGTGTGTGTGTGTGTGTGTGTGTGTGTGTGTGGCTAAGGGAAACAGGCCCAGGCCCACTGGTTAGCTCCGGGAGGGGTGACGATGTGACCCAGCTGGACCCAGTGTTTAAGTGCTGGGTACCCGGGGAGAACCTGCTGCTTCCTGGGTCTTCGTCTTCCAAAACCACCATGCACCTGCCACTCCCAGGCTGTTTATCTCTGGCATCCGCATGGTGCCTGGCGTGTAGAGTGCAGGAAGAATGAGGTGAGTGGATGGATGGATGGATGGATGGACAGATGGGGAGGTGGGGCTGCACAGTGACTGGGGGACGTGGTAGGCTCCGGGGTAGCACTGTGAATCCCCGCCCCAGCGTCAGTGAGCAGAAGAGGTTCTCTGGCAGATGCCTCCGGCCTCTTAGGATGCAAAGCACAAAACCGGGCTTCTTTCATAACATGGCATGCAGAGCAATGTTTGTGTAGCTCACAGGACAGGCTGGACACAGGGCTGGCCTGGCGGTCATGTCCTCTGCCGAGGCGGAGGACCAAAGTGTCCCATTAACAGGTGGTCTGAGTGCCATCAGCCTGGGCCTCAGACCTGGCGGCTGAGTGGAGTCCCCACCGACAGTGGAAGCCGAGATGAGGGCTCCAGGTCAGACAGAGCCGAGGGCTGGCCTTATGGATCACAGACATCATTAAAGGTTTCAAAAGATTGAAAGTTTCTTCCACGCTGTTGGTCACTGGGTAGATACGGTGTGCCGGCCCTGTCTTCCTGATTCTCGTCTACTCTCTCAGGGCGGCAGGTCCATGTAGCTACAGCCTGGAGACCTTACAAGTACCAAGGGCAAGTCCACTGTGTTTTCCTCCATGAGCTGTGCACCCTGGAATGTCTTCAAAAGCACTGTCACCTACAGCTTCAGGCCCCTGGGCCCAAAGAGGGCGAAAGCCAGAGTCCTCCCCACTCTATTTTGGGGGGAGACTCATAGCAGTTTGTAAACTACTGTTTGGGGCTGGTATTGTGGTGCAGCAGGCTAAGCCACGGCCTGCAACACCGGCATCCCGTACCACAGTGCAGTTTTGGGTCCCGGCTGCTCTGCTTCCAGTCCAGCTTCCTGCTAATGTACCTGGGAAGGCAGCAGAGGATGGGTCAACTCTGTGGGTCCCTGCCACCCATGTGGGACACTTGGATGGGGTGCATGGCTCCTGGCGTAAGCGTGGCCCAAACCTGGGTTTTGTGGCCATTTGGGGAGTAAACCAGCAGATAGAAGATCTGTCACTAAGTCCTTCAAATAAATAAATTAAAAAAAAAAAAAAAAAGAGAGAAACCACTGTTTAATCAGGGGAGGCCACAACATAAGACGGTGAGGGTCAACAGTCAGTGACTGAGACAGCACAGGATGGGGACAGCCACAGCCTGTCATTTCCGGCCATGCAGGCACACACACCCAGAATGGCCAGGAACAGAGATCTTTGGAGAAAAACTGAAAACACTCCTGATTTTTACGTGAAATCTCTTGATGTTTAAGTTTGGTCAGTAAGTTATTTCAAACTCTGGGCACATAACTGCAGTCCACAGGACTCCGACTGAGGGGCAGTGGTTAAGACTCGGCCTGGGATGCTCGCACTCCGTACTGGAGTGCCTGGGTTCAAGTCCCGGCTCCTTCCCCATTCCAGCTTCTTGCTAATGCACACCCTGGGAGGCAGCAGGTGATGGCTCAAGTACTGCCACCCATGTGGAAGACCTGGATTGAGTTCCAGGCCCCTGGCTCTGACCTGGCCCAGCTCCAGCTATGGTGGGCATTTAGGCAGTGAACCGATGATTGGAGGATATCTCTGTCTCTGTTTTCCAAGAAACAGTAAAAATAAAGAACACCTGTTAACAACTATTCGGGTTGAAATGACCTTGGAGGCCCTGGCAGCTGAGACCACACAGCTTGTGACCAGCGTCCTCACTGCTGGAAGCTCAGGAATTATTGTTGCGACACCAGCTTTGGCGCCAGGCAGACAAACAGGGGTTTTGGTGAAGTTTGAATGTATCAGCCCTGCCTTTGCCTGGGCAGCCACGGCCCAGCGGTCTGGCTCAAAGTCAAGCTCCTCCAGTTGGCACCTGAAGGCCTCCATGTCCCCCTCCCCGCAGTGGCCGTCAGTCCACAGTTCAGCGGCCTGCTGCAGGATGTTCTCTGCCCATCTCGTCGCCACTCCCTGCAGCCAACCGCAGTTCAGGGTCCACTCCAGGGCTCCCCCTGGCTGCAGGCACTAGAACATGCACTGTGTGTGCCTGTCTTGGCATCTTTAAAACCCACCCCACGGCTTTAACCTCTCATTGTTCCCCCTACCTGCCCCTCCTGCCACCCTGGGCGCATCTTTGTCCCCAAGACGGGGGTGTCTTTCCCTGCTCTCTCAGGACCTCCACTGCGTTGGAGCTTTGCAGTGAAGCCTGGATCTCTCATTTGCAAAGCGGGAGGCGCACTTTTGTGCCTTAGTAGTTTGGAGGGTTACGTACGCCTATCATGAACTGAACACGCAAACACAGGGCAGGCCAGGTCAACAGTGCCGGGCCATGTTCTGCCTCAGATCTGCTCAGACTGGGGGGCTGTGGACGGGGTCCCTACAGCCCAGCTTTTGCACCCCGGTTTTTCAGGCAGCTCTGACCTCTCACATCCAGGGAGATGGCGTCGCAGGGGCTACAGGAGAGGCCTCCGTTGGGATTCCTGTGTTGACTCAAGCCATGTCTCGGGTTTTGCATTTCAGCTCTCCCCCGACATAGGGACCCTGTTGCTAAAACAAAATCTGAAGATGCCCAGTTTTTCAAAGCTAGCTGGCCCTGGGTGAATCTCGGGGGAGGGGAGGAGGATGCATGGTGGCAAAGGGACACAGGTGTGAAAGAGAATGAGCAAACAGTCCCGGACCGGGCAGCGGGCAGGGCTAAAAGCCAGCACTCACTGTTTATAGGCAGAACAGGCTGTGGGGGGCAGAGTCCAGGAGTGGGGGGAAGGAGGCACTGCTCGTCTCCAGTGGCCTAGGACCACGGCCCTCACCACATTCAAAGCCCTGGGGTGGAGCCCTCTAGGCGGTCCAGGGCAGGCAGGAGACGGGACAGAGAGGGGAGGATGTGTTCTTCAGGGACGGAATCTCTGACCGCAGGCTCCAGAGGCTCCGGGCCAAGCACCAGGAAGCCGTGCATGCCCACAGCCCGCGCCCCCTGGTAGTCACAGCGGTAGCTGTCCCCGACGTGTGCTGCTGCTGCGGGCTCCACGTGAGCCAGCCGCAAGGCCTCCTGGAAAATGCGGGGGTCCGGCTTGGGCCAGCCGGCAGCCTCAGAGGTCAACACAAAGTCGAAGTGCTCCCGCAGGCCCAGCCCCGTGAGTACGGCCTCCAGCCGCCGGTCAAAGTTGGAGACCACCGCCAGCCTCAGACCCCGCCGACGGCAGCCCCTCAGGGCGGCCTCAGCCCCCTCCAACACCTGCCAGTTGGAGGGGCTGCTAAAGTCCTCATACAGCTGCTCAGCAATGGGGGCCACGGCCCGAGCGTCCTGGATGCCTGCCAGGTGGAAGGTCTGCAGGACCACGTCCAGCCACCAGCGGCGGGAGGTGAGGCCCTGGCTCAGGCCGTAGTTGGGGAAGCTGTGGCTCTGGGCCCTGTGGGCCTGCCTGAAGGCTTGGCCCAGGGCTGCAGCTTCCACCTTCAGCCCGTGGGCTCGGGCCTTGGCGGCATACTCTTCCCCCAAGGGGCGGCGCAGCCTGAGCAGTGTGTCCGTCACGTCCCACGTCAGCAGCCGGATCTGCAGCCTGCGAGCCATGGGGCAGGCCAAGTCCACGGCCCAGAAGCAAGCTAAGCTGGACAGTGGCACTCCTCCACGGCCTGCCAGTCTCTGCTCTCCAGGCGTCGGGGGTCAGACTTGCTGGCTGACATGCGACCTTTGGGGACGTCTTCCTGGAATGAGAGACAGCCAGTGAAGGTTCCGACTGTGGTGCTGCCCGCTCTGTGAGCCCAGGACAGTCCCTCTCTGAACCCCTGTCTCATGGAAGAGGACTCATTCATTCCAACAGCGCTCGGTTTCTGAGCCCCTTTATGAGCTAGATGCTGGGGAATGGGAGATGTCCAACCTCACGGCATTCGCGGGCAAGCAAGAGTACGAGATACAGCTATTAGACAAAGCACTGTGCAAGCCAATGAAGTCAGAAGGGACCATGTGGATATGAATCCAGAGACCCAATCCAGTCTTTGTTGTCGGAGAATTTCCCAAGCAAGTGAAGAAGCTTCAGTGGAGATCTAAGGAATGGAGCTGCAGGAAGCAGAGGTGGGTAGTGGAAATAGCAAGTGCAAAGGTCCTGAGGCAGGGCAGAGGCCAGTGTCCTGGATAGAGCGGGGCCAACTCAGGCAGCCTTTGTAAATCAAGATAAGGAAACAATTATGACTGCTATTACTGTTATTAGTAATGTCAAAGATAAGGGGACTATTACAGGCCATTTGAACAACGTCTTGACTGTTTAACAGGGCAGACTGAGCCAGACAAAGGCAGGTACTTGCCTAGGGTCACAAGTGAGTCCCAGCACAGCCAGGAGTAGAACCCAAACTTCCAGAGTCCCGGGAAGGCCAGGACTCCCTTGCTCTAAACGCTTCGACATTAAAAACAACAACAACAACAACAACAACAACTTCGGTGAGGACCAGAGAGCGGAGAGAGCAGCCGGCTCCGCGCTGTCCCCAGCCTCTTGGTCCTTCCTGGAGGGGCCGACACATGCGTGGGAGGAGCCCCAGTGGAGGGATTTTGGACTCCAAGCACAAAGAAACAGTTCCCAGCCTGGGGTCCAGAAGTTGGCTGCGGCTTCCTTCCCCAGCCGGAGCTGGTTCCAGACAGGCCCCTGCCGGCCCGCTGAACCTGAGGGGCCGGGGTTCAGGGTGCAGCCGACGTGCTGCTCAGAGCGGACCGGGGCTGGTGAACCTGGCGCTGAGTGTTAGAAGCAGCGCTAAGCAGATGAGTTTCCGTCCGTCTGCAACTTAGGGAGGGAGGCGGAGCCAAAGACCCCCTCGTTCTGCAGGTGGGCAGAAGTGGGGAAGCGGGGGAGGGGTCGGGGAGGGGCGGGGACTTGCTCCAAGTCACTCAGGGTGTCACAGGCGCGGCCCAGACCACACCAAAGGGCTCTGCTTCCCAACCCACTTCTGGAAGCCGGGGCTGGGGGCCCTGGGCTGCAGGCCCGACCGGCTCACCCCCCTCCCTGGGCTCGGCGGACGCTAAGTCCAGGTAACCCTGAGTGAACGCAGTCTCCGCAGCGGCCAACGAATGAAGCTGGGCCCGGGCTCCTGGGCGGCCTTTTCGGCTGCAGCCCCTTCCCACGGCCCGGCGCCTGTCCCTGAACCCAAAACTCAACTCACCTGCCGGCAAAGAACGGGTCAGGAAGGCCGCCGCGCTGCACGCCGGCTCCAGCAGGCGCTCCCCGCGCGCACCGGGCCCTCGGCCGGGCGGGGTCACGTGGGCCGCGGGGCCCGGCCCCCGGCGCCCCGCCCCCTCGGGGCCCCGCCTCCTCATTGCCGCATCCGCGCGCTTTCGGGACTCTGGTCTCACAATCCCCAGAGGGTGGTAGGAGGGAATTGCGTTTAGTTGGAGACATTTTGCTAATATTGGAGTCCTCTGCAGTTACCCAGATGTATTTTGTTTTTCCCTTTGGGGGCGAAAAATGATTTGGGTTTTGTTTGCAATATAATGCATGCTCGTCTCAAAAACATTCCAAAATCAAGTAAATAAGACTGACGGGGTGGGGGTGGGGCTCTCTTGGAGATGTGGGCAGGAGAGGACCAGAGATCTGATAAGGAGGCAGCAGGGGAAAATCAAGGGACAAGTACTCCAGGTGAGCAACTGACAGTGAGGGCTGGAGCCCCAGCCTGGTTACTGAGAGCAAAGGCCATGGGGCTGGGAGGAAAGCAAGGCTTCTCCACCCCTATTCCACTCCCCAGGGGTTGTGACATGAATGTATGCTGTAAAAAATCCCCCTCCCTTTCTTAATATTTTTTTACTTATTTGAAAGGCAGAGTTACAGAGCAAAAGAGAGGGAGAGAAAAATCTTCCATCCGCTGGTTCACTCCCCAAATGACCGCAATGGCCAGAGCTGAGCAGATCTGAAGCCAGGAGCCAGGAGCTTCTTCTGGGTCTCTCACGTAGGTGCAGGGGCCCAAGCACTTGGGCCATCTTCTGCTGCTTTCCCAGGCCATAAGCAGAGATCTGGATGGGAAGTAGAGCAGCTGGGACTCGAACTGTTGCTCATATGGGATGCAGGTGATGTCACAGGTGCAGGTGTCACAGGCCGGGGCTTAACCCACTGTGCCACAGGGGCCCGAGACATTTTTCTAGAAGCGCACAAACAGGTACATGATTTTCTTCCTTCATCCTCTCTACCCCTACTCCTCCCTTTGGAAAAACAGAGCCTTTCTGTGTCTCCCAAGGCTGGGGTGGGTTCACTTCAGTGGGACAACCTCTGGGGGAACCTGACTGGGTTCAGGCCTGGGAGTGTGGAGTCTCAGACCTTGGGGGACTCAGCTGCCAAACTGGTTTGTGCCCCAGGCTTGGTTCTCAGGAGTGGGGGTTGGGCAGGGTGACTACGGGGAGGCCAGGGGTCCATCTGCATTTCTGAGGTTCCTCCCTTGGGTTCTGGGCCCAGATCTGCCACCTGACCCTCTGTGAAGCCTCTGTTCCATGCTTCCTCTGTGGGCTTCGGGCTCCCCACGTGCAAAGTGGAGGGACTGGACAAAAGAACTTCCACCTACAGTTCAGGCGAGCTTTTAGGTTAATTTCTAAGATAATTAACTTTGCCCATCAAACCTCAGTTTCTCAGTATGAAAATAGGGTACAAGGATATCTACATCAGTATCCAATGAACTCACATGGGAAAGCTCTTCAGGAAGTAAATGTTGACTCTTTTGGGATGAGAAAGTGGAGACTCCTGACAGGTTAAGGTCAAGGCCACATAGTGTTTCGACCCAGGGCCACCTCCAGGAAGGCAGCATTTCCAGGACTTCCCTGTGAAGGTGCCCCCTCCATGCGTGGCCCTGATTTAACCCCGTTCTCCAGGATTTGCTTGTCATTTTACCTGGGTAACTTGTTGAGCAGAGTAAAATGAACATTGTGTAGCACAGGAGTCAGTGACAAGTTTCCACTACTCAGAAACAACCTGCTTTGTCATTTGCCAGTGTATAAGTGGGAACATTTACTGGACATGTTTTCCTCCGTAGAGGTGCCCGATCTTCTGCAGGTGCCATCCCTTGATGTGTTTCATGGGGGTGTGGCCTGCTGCTTGCTTCTGGAGACACCTGGCCTGTTCCCGTTCTGGATGCTGGCTTAAGTGACTTCTCTTAGGGAAACCACGATTAGTACATAAGGATATTTTCGCTCAGATTTTTTTTTTTTTTTAAGATTTATTTGAAAATCAGAGTTACGGGCCAGCGCCGCGGCTCAATAGGCTAATCCTCTGCTTGCGGCGCCGGCACACCGGGTTCTAGTCCCGGTTGGGGCGCCGGATTCTGTCCCAGTTGCTCCTCTTCCTGTCCAGCTCTCTGCTGTGGACCGGGAGTGCAGTGGAGGATGGCCCAAGTCCTTGGGCCCTGCACCCGCAGGGGAGACCAGGAGAAGCACCTGGCTCCTGGCTTCGGATCAGCGCGGTGCGCTGGCCGCAGCAGCCATTGGGGGGGGGGGTGAACCAATGGAAAAGGAAGACCTTTCTCTCTGTCTCTCTCTCTCACTGTCCACTCTGCCTGCTCGGTATTGAGTATATAATAAAAAAAAAAAAAAAAAAAAAAAAGTCAGAGTTACCCAGAGAGAGGAGAGGCAGAGAGAGAGAGAGAGAGAGAGAGAGAGATATCTTCCATCCACTGGTTCACTCCCCAATTGGCTGTAATGGCCGGAGCTGTGCTGATCCAAAGCCAGGAGCCAGGAGCTTCTTCCGGGTCTCCCATGCGGGTGCAGGGGCCCAAGGACTTGGGCCATTTTCTACTGCTTTCCCAGGCCACAGCAGAGAGCTGGATCGGAATTGGAGCAGCTGGGACTTGAACTGGTTCCCATATGGGATGCTGGCACTGCAAGTCAGGGGGTTAACCTGCTGCACCACAGCGCCGGCCCCAGTCCCTCAGATTTTTATATTGAAAGCACTACTAAGCCCAGGCTGAACCCTCCAGGCACATATCTCTCTTTACTTTTAATTTTCCATTTATTTACTTTTGTTAACTTTAAAAGTACACAGAAAAAAAAAAGCAAAAAAGTATACATCCCATACAGGCAGCACCCACAGCAAAAAAAGAATTTTAATTTTTTTTTAAAGGTAGAGACAGAGAGAGAGAAGGAGGGTGGGGGAGAGGGAGAGAGAGATCTTCCATCCACTGGTTCACTCCCCAAATGGCCACAATGGCCAGGACTGGGTGAGGCTGAAGTCAGGAGCCAGGAGCCTCTTCAGGGTCTCCCATGTGGGTGGCAGGGACCCAAGCACTTGGGGCATCTTCTGCGTGCGCAGGCAGGGAGTTAGATCAGAAATGGAGCAGCTGGGGCCGGCGCCGCAGCTCACTAGGCTAATCCTCCGCCTTGCGGCACCGGCACACCGGGTTCTAGTCCCGGTCGGGGCACCGGATTCTGTCCCGGTTGCCCCTCTTCCAGGCCAGCCCTCTGCTGTGGCCAGGGAGTGCAGTGGAGGATGGCCCAAGTCCTTGGGCCCTGCACCCCATGGGAGACCAGGAGAAGTACCTGGCTCCTGCCATCGGATCAGCGCAGTGCGCCGGCCGCAGTGCGCTGGCCGCGGCGGCCATTAGAGGGTGAAGCAACGGCAAAAGGAAGACCTTTCTCTCTGTCTCTCTCTCTCCCTGTCCACTCTGCCTGTAAAAAATAAAAAGAAAAGAAAAGAAATGGAGCAGCTGGGGCTCAAAGCAGCGCTCACATAGGATGTCGGCACTGCAGGCGGCTGCTTAATCTTCTATGGGACAGTGTTGGCCTGAGAACGAATATTTCTGTCACCCTGGAGCTGTTTGCTTTCAATGGCTTCTCATTCCATAGTTTCAATACAGCATGCATTTTTTTGTTTGTTTGTTTAAGATTTATTTATTTGAAAAGCAGAGAGAGACACAGACCCAAATGCCCACAATAGCCAAGACTGGGCCAGGCCAAAGCCAAGAACTAAAAACTTCATTGAGGTCTCCCCCATGGGTGGCAGGAACCCAAAATTTTGGGCCATGATCTGCTGCCTCCAGGGAGCCTTAGCAGGAAGCTGGACTGGAAACTCCACTCTGATAGGGATGTAGGCAACCAAGCAGCAGCTCAACCCGTTGTGCTCCATCGCCTGCCCCTTTAGCTCAAAGTTTGTTTAGAAGATTCGTCCGTGTTGCTGTGTGGTTGCAGTTCCTTCCTTCGCATACCAGTAATATTCCATTACACGAACAGGTCACATTGTACCGCTGGTGGACATTTGGGTTAGCTCTAGCTTCTGGTTATTGCACATATTACAAAATGCTGCTATGAACGTTCTTGAGCATGTTTCTTGTTGAGCAGACCTGTATATTTCCAGCTACATAAATACCTAGGTGTCCACGTTTCTGTTGGATAAATCACTGTCGTCAGCTTCGCAGATGTTCCCCTTCAGTAAAGGGCCAGTTTCTGAAGTGGTGCAGCCAATAATCGCTGAGTTTGTTTCTCCACATTCTTCTTCTTCTTCTTCTTCTTTTTTTTTTTTGACAGAGTAGACAGAGAGAGAGAGAGAGAAAGGTCTTCCTTTTCCGTTGGTTCACCCCCTCCCCCCAATGGCCGCTAAGGCCGGTGTGCTGCAGCTGGTGCACCGTGCCGATCTGAAGCCAGGAGCCAGGTGCTTCCTCCTGGTCTCCCATGTGGGTGCAGTGGCCCAAGCGCTTGGGGCATCCTCCACTGCCTTCCCGGGCCACAGCAGAGAGCTGGACTGGAAGAGGAGCAACCAGGACTAGAACCCGGTGTGCCAGCGCCGCAGGCGGAGGATTAGCCTAGTGAGCCGCGGTGCCGGTCTCTCCACATTCTTAACAATTGCCATTTCTTTTTTTAACATTGGGCATTCTGATGGTACTTTTCTTAAAGATTTATTTATTTATTGGAAAGGCAGAATTATAGAGAAATCTTCCATCTGCTGGTTCACTCCTCAAATGGCCAAAATGGCCGCAAAATACAGGGCTGGGCCAGACCAAAGCCAGGAGCGCAGAACGCCCATCATCCAGGCCTCCTACATAGGCGGCAGGGGCCCGAGCACTTCCGTCATCCGCTGCTGCTTTCCAGGCTCATTAGTAGAGGGGAGTTGGGTCGGGACTCGAACCAGTGTTCATAAGAGATGCCAGCATCGCAGGTGGTGGTTTAACCTGCTGCACCAACCACAACACTGGCCTTTCATTGTGGTATTTTTCTCCCTGTGGCTTTAATTTTAATTTCATCACCGACTAATGAAGACAACACCTTTTCATGTGTGTTGCCAAGATTCGTTTATTTATACAACTACACATGA